TCACTTTAATTGATGATCTGAACAAGCCCTTAGTATCTCATCAAGATTATGAATCTTTTCTTTTGTCCCCTCTTGCTATCCTTGGATCATTTGGAATGGTGATAACTGTGCCATCTTCAAGTGCCACCCTATAACAAAGTAAATGAAGTTCAATCCATTATCCTGAGGTCTGAACAGATGCCATTTTATTTCATTCATTAAGGCACTCTTATGGCTGTGATACTTGCCAACAAGGTTAGGGTTAAGAGCTTGTCAGCATTACTTCTTTTGGAAAGAGACCCTCTTCTTGCAGTAACTTTCAGACACTTAATTTAGATCATTAGAATTACACCAGGGTTGGGCATGTTCTTCTGTTTTATAGAGTTTAAAACTTGGCTTCAACTTCAGGTCTGGTGGTGCAAATAATTCTGCAGTATGTAGGATATACTAGAGCTTTGAAGTATTTGAAGTACATTAAGGGAGGCAGTGACTCTAGTAAGTACGGTAGGAGAATGAGGATCTCCACTTCCAGTTGTATTGTTGATGTGTTTTATAATACTGGAGAAACATCTGGATCCTTCTATTCTGATCATAGGAATGACATACCTATGGTGCTTAAGTAGTTACTGTTAAGCACAGCTGCAATTCTTGGGTACATCTGGTTGGTGTACAGCTTTAATATAAGGTTTTCATTAAAATGTTTTTTGTATTTGTGTATCTTTTATGCCAATGAGCATTACTATTTTGTGGGAGAAGATGCTGGCTTATACTAACCATGAGTTTTGAGAAGATGTATGGATTATAGGTATGGCTCCAATAGAAGCATCTGTGACTAGAAATGTGTAGAAAAGCAATTTTAGCTAATTCCAGTGTTGCTTTCCAAACCCTTGCTCTACCTCCTATGTAGTACTGATGGAACTTTGAATTTTCCAGAACAGTTTTTCATGGGTGCAGTTGGAAGGAGACCCATACCCAAGAGCACTATTTCCCACTGGCAGAACACGATTCATGGAACTCTGAATCCAGCATACTGGCCTAGGCTGCACATAATGCTAAGCCATTATTCACTGAATTCCAGTTCGCTATTGCATATGAACCCCTACTCACATGATTAGTTAGTCACCTACAAAGCACAAATAGAAACTAAAAGTGTGTTCTTAGCTTATGAAGTCTGGCTTAAATGAGACTTCTCATATTGGCCTGGTTCACTTAACCTTGCTGGGTTATCATCATAGGTTGTGATAGGGTAGTTTGTCATGATGTTGAAACATAGACTGTTATTTTCCTCAAGGGATCTTTTCCACAAACAAGCTTAACAGGATATGCAAATTCACCCAATGTCTGAATAAAGAATTGTGATTTGTTGCTGGCTTGCTTGTGTTGCTGTCCACCCTGAGACAGAGGTGCCCACCAAGAACACCTTAAAACTGAAATTGCGCTGAAGGTTGGTAAAATGGGTGGGAGAGAAGCTAGTCAGATGTGGGAAAAACACCATGGTTTGTTTGCTTATTCACACAGCAGTTTATGGTTGAAGGAACAAACCTTGGTTAATATTAATTTTGGCATGATGTTGTGTGTGAACACAGTCACTGACCTCGTTCATGAAAAGTCATGGTGCTTTATTACCATGGTCTGTTGTGTTGCCCGGTCCCTGTGGAATTTTTGTGCAACAGTGTTTGTTCCTGAAATCATAGAATCAATGGTCTTAAGGTTTCCAGACTTCACTGCAGGGTCTCTGGTTGTCCAGACATGTGATTTCTGTTTTACCAATGTTGGTATGGAATTAACATAGAATCCCATGGAAAGAACTGCTGTGGAAGTGGCCAGTCAGCCATCTATTCTGTACGACCCCCAACTTCCTAGCAACACATGCATTATCAGCTGTTTTGAGAAACAGAACAAGTGGGCAAATACATGGAGAAAGAAGGGAGAATTGTGGCAAATCTGCTTATTATGATTTGATAAAAATTCTCTTGGGGGCTGGAGTGACTGAGAAGCATTGCAGAGATGCAGGTATACTCTGAAGTTAGAAGAGGGAGAACTAACCTCAAAACCTCAGCAGATTCATCAGGATGAGGTTGCTGCAGTCCATAGGGGGCAGTAGCATAAAGAAGGAGTTCTTGTTCATGGGGGTTGCCAGGATGCATGACCAGAGTGGGAGGATGGAGTGGGGAGCATGGAAACCACATCGTTAAGGAGGCCATATGATTGTCGGACCAGTAAGCCAGGAGAAGATCTACGCACTGTGGGAATAGTGCAGGGTTGTTTCTGTGAAGTGTGAATCCAGCCACTGTGTATTCCTTTAAAGATAATATCCCCAACAAGTGGAAAAATACAGTACTGTGGGAAAATAAACAGAGCCGGGTAGATAGAGCTGCAATTTAGGTTGGCAGTGTTCACTTTGTCTGCTCCTGTGCCTTTAAAACAGGCTGATGAGATGCCCATCAGACCTCTTCCTATTACTCTACTTGTGTACCAGGAACAGATTTCCAGGCCAAATGTCTACATTCCGGACCACCTATAAAAACAGTGGAACACGGCCAGTGGGACAACTCAGTCAGTTTAAGCAGGGAAACAAGACGAACTCTAAACATACTGGAAATACTGTCCCATAAAGTTTAGAACTTGAGATTGTTTTGCTACTACATATGATTTTTTAAATTTTATTTTTATTTAAAACATTTTTATCCAGTCCTTCCTGATGAAACATCTGAGGCCACTGATGCCATTACTTTCATGAAGGGGCAAAGAGTTTGAAAATTCAGAAGAGCAAATGGATTTAGATTGAAGCTGGAGGAAGCTAGGGAAATACAGTGACGGTATGTACGCAGGTGGGAATGTGAGATAGGCCTAAACAAAGTCTGGCAGACCTGCAGCTGGAGCAGTCTTCTCCAAGTGGATGCTTCTCAGATGAGCAACTTAGGAAGTCTGCACTGCAACTCTTTTATTTGTGATAGGTGGGCACCAGGTTGGAGAAGGCTGCTTGAAAGCAATAAAAAACAAAAGCCCATTTACTGGAGGTTATTAAGGTTTGTAACCATAGAAAACCATATGTTTACACTGTGATGTTTTTCCAGAAAATGAAACAAACAAATGCACCCTTTGTTCTTACACAGGAAGGCAGGCGGGTACGAGATAAACACATGCTAGCCTGTATAATAACAGTTAGGCCTACATTGGCTGTACAGTCATAGTGAATTTTGTCTATGATAACACCCTTACTAATTTAAGAATGGAGCATGTGTGTGGCATGTGAAAATCTGTTAATTATATCTTACATTTGAGATTGCTAAACTGTCATACAGGCTGCATAATTATTCAGCCTATCCATTATTTTCTGATGCCTTTTAAAAATATTTACCAGACTGAGCAAAATTTTCAATAAAAACTGCTTATTCCTTGCCACCTAAAGAGAAGGGCACACAGAACAGGTAGAAGGCTATAGATGCCATCCCTTACAGGTAACTTAACAACTTGCAGTATTTGTTAATGCATCATATTCTGGCAATACTTCTGGCAATGGTGTAATACGTCATCTTTTTATATTTTCTGATTTCTTGTTATGGTTAAAAGATACTAGTGAGAAAATGTAAAAATAATTCAAAGTACAATATTGAAGAAATTGTGCTCTCATCAAGCCATGGTTACTTTTCTGAGCCTACTTTAGGTTTGAACTTTATCTTTAATACCTTCTTTCCCTCCTCTTCCCAATAAAACCAGTTGCTACACTCTGTTACGTCTTCTTCAACAACATCTCCAGGATGCTTATGGGTTGAGTTGGGGATTCATTGGAAACCAAAGGATAATAGATAAGCCAGATGAATTGGTCTTGCATATACAAAATAAAATACCGCATAAGTGCTACCTAGAGTAGATTCATTAACATGAATGTGACAGGTTAGTTGCAGTTGGATTTTATAGTCTTTGATGTTTACTCTATCTTTTAGTACAATTTTAGTTGATTATTACTTAAAATTTTTGATAGACAAATATACCTTGTATATCTTCACTGACCTCAGTGCGATTTACATACAGTAAGTATAGGAGCACATCCTAAATATGATGTCACTAATAATTTCAGAGTGAAAGACCAGATCTGGAGCCAGCACTTTATTTATTTATTTATTTTTATTTAGGATATTTGTACGCTGTCCTTTGCAAAAGCCTCACTTCCAAAATCCATGCTATTGAATTACCTTTATAAATATTGGCACCTGAATTAGAAGTATAACACTAATAATGTTTGAAATACTTTAAAGACTATTACATTTGGCTGTATCGTTTGAATTCAGGTGCTTCAGGACATGGACAGTTAGTCTGAGGTAAAAATGGCAAATCTAGAAGTATACATCTAAATCTGTATAACTGTAAATCTGAAAGAAAATTGTACATTTATTGATGCAACAACCTCACAAATGATAATTAGTACTGTTTAATAAAATCAGCAACCAAATACTAATTATCCATTCATTCTGAAAAGTGTTGCATGCTGCAGTGCATCTGTGTGACATAGAGAGAGAGATGGTGTGTGGTGTGTCATGCCAGTTAGGATCTGCATTTATATTAGAACTTTATGGACACGATCTACCAACAGTAGAGTACATGCAAGGATAGTATTCCCATAGGTCAGTATCCCCTCTTCCATTGCTATGTGTGCACAGGCAGCATGGTGCGGCAACAGGGAAATGGAAAGACTGTACATGCCCCTCTATATTTCTTGCCTCAGTAGATGTTACACTGGCAGCATGACATTGAGTCAAGCTATCTGGATGAGGATGTGTCAAATGCATTCAGCTCTTCCATTCCCTTCAGTATCCCACTGTACTCTCTGAGCATGGTTTTGTGCATAATGAATCTTTATTAACCCTTACAGGACATGGATGCTGCATCTACATTTCAAGTAATTTATGCTCAGTCAGTATGGCCAACGACAGCTTTGGCTATTTGGTGCTATAGAAATGCAATAAATAAATGTGTGTACCAAGTTTAATTCTAATGGAATCTCTTATGTTTTTTTTTAGGGTTGACCCTATTCCATATGACACCCCGAAGCCAGCAGGCCACACACGGTTTGTCTGCATCTCAGACACCCACTCCAGAACTGATGGAATCCAGATGCCTTATGGAGACATCTTGCTTCATACAGGAGATTTCACTGAGTTGGGGCTGCCATCAGAGGTTAAGAAGTTTAATGACTGGTTAGGTAAGGAATTGCTGCTTGTTGGGAACCCCAATTAATCTTTGCTGTCTAAGTGTTGCTTTCAGCCTCCTAATTGTGGTAGAGCAATGAAGAGAATTCACCTTGCCACCTTGTATTCTTCTTATGTTTTTTGTTTAGTCAAAGCATGATTCTATTAAGCATGGTTTTATATTGCTTAATATTTTCTGTATCTGGTGCTTAATTATCTGGCATCCCATCAGGACAAAAGCTGAATATCTGGATGGCAGTTTTGAGCTTGCTGCTGTGCACATCCTGAAGGATACCTGGATTTCTGGAGCGTGCACAAGAGAAACAGCAAAACTGCTGCTGTTTCTTCTACTTTATTCAGTAGAGAATGCACTTCAGAAGGGCTTCACACTGCAGCATAATGCTGTGGGATGAACATATGTTTCAGATAAAGGGGTGCAGGCATATTAACCTCCTGATGACTGATGGCTCTGCTTACTCTTTATATGGTCTCCAAGGAGCAAGGCACCTGTTGTGGGGCTGAATTATGCTAAGTATATCCTAACAGCCCATTGATCTTAGCGAGCAACTAATAAGTTGACATGATGGTTGAACAAGTAAAATGAAAAACAGCAGGGATTGCTTTAAGTTGAGACAAGAGGATATTCATGTTACCAGGTACTGAGGTCCTGTATGAACTTTTGAGGCCAATTGTATGTAGGTAGTACACTCGGGGGAGCTTAGTTAAAGAAAAGGTGGAGGCTGGTAAGAAAGCTAAAACTGCAAACTGACCCTAAAGAATGAGCTGACCCTCTTTTAAAAAAATCTTGTCAAAATGAGACAACATCATTATATAGAAAGTCCTTCAAAGCAAAGCTCTGCCATGGCACTCTTATGACTTGTATCTAGAGACCGTGTCACTCAAGACCCCTAATGACATCATTAAATCCCACTGGATTCCCTTGGAAGGCCCTTGGGGAAATAAGAGAAGTGAAATGTTGGTTCATACAAAGGTTTTTTAAAGTTTTTTTTTTTAACCAAGCATGAAATAACTACTCTTTCACATTTTGGCCTTTCTTTACCTCTATTCTCTGTTTCTGCTGACCATCTTCCAGCTTCTTTTCCGTTCCTGTTTGATGTTATCTTAGATTTGACATTGTTCCCTTTTTCTTGACTCTCTCACCTTTTTAAGTCTTGAGTGCTAATATCATGTGCCTTTTATTTCTGGGCTATTATGTATGTATTTATTAGATTGATGATTGATTTCAGTATGGGCCAATAGCCAAAGCTCTTCTGGCATTTCACAAAAAATAAAAGGCACCTCTCTTTTAATTAGCATACTACTTATTGTACCTTTTGTTTTGAGTTACAGCCTTGTTTCATAAGGATATATTGTCCTATCCTTTTCTGATACAGTATAGAGGAAAACTGTGGACATTTAGTTACGATCAGCAAGTGATTATGTAATATTTATATCCTGGAGTCAAATATGCCTTGCATGAATGGAAAGGGTATTCAGCCTGCCTGTACCAGTCCCACTGCATTGCTCTGATTTCTTTATCTTGTGGCAGCTCTCTGTGCTTGACCCCATACTATGCCTGATGGTCAGTTGACCGACCCACAGGGGCAGCTGTAGAGGAGAGACCAGAAAAGCCCAGTTGGACAAATGGAGTTGTGCCTGAAAGAACCTGATTAACTAATTAAAATACTTCTTACTGTCCCTGTAGTAAAAAAAATGATTTCAGAGTAATTTGTAAAATAAATTTGAACTACAAGTACAATATGGCTCTTCCTCCTAATTACCTATTCTCAAGGAGGAAGACGCAAACCTTAGTAATCTCTCTCATCATTGGCAGGTTCTGTGTTGCAGAACTGTGGTCAAGTTCTGTCCTGTTTCTTAGCTAGAAGATAAGGGTTGATTAATTCAACTGTACAAACCCCAGCAAAGATAAGTAAGGAGATCAGCTTCCTTCAAATAATAACCAGACTTCTTTGTTCTCCCAGGATTTTCAAGTTTTTTAAAGGCACAGTGACATGCATATTTAGGTAGAAAATGGTCTAACAACTGCCATTATTGTCAGTATGAGGAGAATGCTGGAAGTTGTAGGAATTCTTTCTGTCTAAGCATGCATAGGATTGCACCCTAAAAGTCTTTTAATGTTTTAGAATTATTTTTCTATTTTACTATTTTATTTCTGTATTTTATTATTTTAGTCCCTGTAGTTGGGTTTTACCTTATATCTGATATGGTATTCTATGCTGGACTGGCACATTTGTTAACTTTATTGTTAGTTTTATTGCTGTCTCTCAAGGCAGTCTGTTCCACTTTGAAACAGTTCATCCTTTAGGAAGTTTCACCTGATACTTATCAATATCTGCTTCCCTGCATTTTTCCCATTGGTTCTAGTGGAGCAACAGAGGACAAAACTGCTTCATTTTCTGTCTGACAGTCTTTCTTGAAAATCTCTATCACACCTTCACTTCTCTAGGCAAAATATTCCAAGCTAGATTAGAGATAATTATAAATGATGATGCAGATCTTACAGTAATAAGTGTGCAAGTGAACCTTTCCCGCTGTTCTTAGTAGAACATAAGAACTGTGATGAATCAAACCAAGAATCCGTGTAGTCTAGCATTTCTTTTCAAACAGTGACCACCAGCTGCCTGTAGGAAACACAGATATAACAGGAGTGCAATAGCACCTTCCCACTTAAGTTTCCCAGCAACTGGCATACAGAGGCACACTGCTTCTGAATACTGGAGGTAGGATACAGCCATCTTAACAGGTAGCCATAGATAGACTCTGTGAATTTATCTGAATAGAAAATCTACATAGAGGTTTGGCTGAGCAAGCAGCTTGAGAGCTGGTCTTTAATGCAGATAACTACATTTTCTTCTTTACCCATTCAGTTTTTCTTTTGTCACATTTTTGTCCATTAACCAAGCCTAACCTTTCTCTGCCATTTAATGACTATCAGCTAACTTTTTCCCCTGAAGTTTTTTTCCTCTTTTCCTTGACTGATAAATTTTTATTATTGGTTTTGCGTGAAAGTCGTCTGGGCTTGTACTGCATGACCTTTGTGGTCACTTAGTGATTACACATGCCTGCTGAGGTAATTTATTCACTTTGTTTTGGTGTGAACACATCCCAGGGGTCTTGTAACTGCTGTAATCATTTGACCCTACTGACTGTTAAATGCTTTAAGCACAGTTATTTTAAATTTATAATTGTTTTCATTAAAAATCCCTTATAGTAACTTAACTGACCTTGCAGTAAACACAACATTACTGAGGATAGAACTAAAATTATTTTGTGATACCTGGTATATTTTTCTCAGCTTGCATGCTTAATGTTGCTATAACACAATGTTGATTCTTTAAAGACAAGAAATTCTGGCTATAACCTGGGAGGCAGTCTCATTGAATTCTATGGGACTTACTGTCCTGTAGATGTGCATACAATTGCATTGTTAAGTATATAATTGCATTTGTAGCATAATACAAAATATCTTTCATATACTGCATGCTTAGATGTAGGTAAAAGAAACCATGAGCACCAACTGAAAGGTGAAATGTAAGGGTTGTTTATTAAGGTGAATGATGAGATGCTGTGAAAGTGTAAATGTAAATATGATCAAGCCAGCCTAATAATGAAATCCTTTATTGATGTGAGTAATCAAGGGAACCACCAGCATTAATACTTATTGCACAGCTGCTTTCTGTGTCTCTAACCAAATCCTGAAATCATACTATCAGACAGGAAGAAGGTCTATGTTGATCTTGTTTAAATCAGAGCTTCATTAGCTTTGTTTTGCAGCAGATTGGTGTTATGATTCTTCGTCGTGGCCTCTGTGCATCACACATATGGGTTGCTGTGCCTGCGCAGTGCTTAGGCCGTAAGATTAGCAAGCTAACGGTTTTTGGCAGGAAAACTCCGCTCCCCTCCCCCTTCGTTGTATAAATAGAGCGGAGTGTCCGCCATTTTACTCAGTCTTTGCGACCGCCGTTCACTGTGCCTCGTGCCTGTTTGTCTCTCGCTATAGATCTGAGCCTCTTCATTGTTTTTTCTCAAAAACCTTAAACTCCTCTTGCTCCAAGTTTGTTCTTCTTTACGATTCTGTCCGTTTCTTTTTAATTCTCTTCTCTATATATATTAAAAAAAAAACAAAAATACTATCTTACTCTCTATACTGTCCTCTTTTCTTCAATTTTCCGTGATGGCGCAGCGGGTGGCATTCCGCAAATGTATTGAATGTGGATCTAAAATGTCGCTGGCCGATCCACATGATCTATGCCTCCTCTGCCTCGGCGAGGGGCATAGGACTGACAAATGCAGTCATTGCTTGGTGTTTACCAAGCAGGCGCGGAAAAATGGAGAATCGTCTCAGGAAGCTCCTATGGGATCAGGCATTAATGCAGTCTGACCAACTGCTCCTACGGCGTGGTTCCTCTTCATCCGTGCCTCCTCAGCGCTCTTCCTCTACCGTGAGTGCTCCGGCGAAGCTTCCTTCCTCGACCTCTGCCGATCCTCCACAGTGTCCTTCGGATGCAGGCGCCACTTCTGTGAAGGCTCAGTCGCTGCCTTCTCCCCCGGCTAAGAAACGGGAGAAGCGCAAGCATACCGGTCTGGATAAACCTTCCACCCATAAGAAGTTGAGGAAGGAGAAGGTGGATAAGCCCGCTCGCAAGGGCAAGAAACCTGATCGCCCAAAACACCGGGGCTCAGGGTCATCAGGCTTTTCGGTACCGACTGCCGCCACAGTACCAACCCCTTCGGGACAGGCCCTGCAACTCGTTATGCAGGTGACTCCACTGGGATCCCCCAGGCCAACCACTTGGCCTGAGAGCGTGCCTCCCCAGCAACAGGAGGGACCGCTCGCCAACACCTATGCCACCGACTGAGCCTTTCATCCGAACATCGAGATGAGAGTTGGTTGATCCCGGGATATGGCGCTCCCCCGGCTGGGGTGGTTACCAGCCATATCCCTAATTTCCTCGGGATCATAGATCACCATCGGCCCTGAGGGACGTACCAT